TGTATATCAGTGATAGTACACTAATAAATCTATATGAACCTAATAGCTATAACGAAGCCATGGTAGGCCCGGAGTCTGCAAAGTGGAAAGAGGCAATGGACAGCGAGATCCAATCCATGTATGACAACCAAGTTTGGAATTTGGTTGATTATGTGCCCGAACGTAAGACCGTTGGGTGCAAATGGATCTTCAAGAAGAAGACCGATGTGGATGGAAACGTACACACATATAAGGCGCGATTGGTTGCGAAGGGTTTTACTCAAACTCCCAGAGTTGACTATGATGAAACCTTCTTGCCAGTTGCGAAGATAAAATCTATTAGAGTGATGCTAGGAATTGCCGCATTTCATGATTATGAAATTTGGCAAATGGATGTCAAAACCGCTTTCCTTAATGGGAAGTTGGCTGAGGATGTTTACATGGCTCAGCCAGAGGGGTTTGTCGATCCGAAGTATCCAAATAGAGTGTGTAAGCTTGAGAAGTCCATTTATGGACTTAAGCAAGCGTCTCGCAGATGGAATCTTTGCTTCGATGAGAAATTCAAAGAGTTTGGATTTGTACGAAGTGAAGATGAATCATGTGTATATGTAAAAGCCAGTGGGAGTATAGTTAGCTTTCTCGTTTTGTATGTCGATGACATATTGCTCATAGGAAACAACATTCTGACACTGCAGGAGATTAAGTCCTGGCTCGGGAAGTGCTTCTCTATGAAGGACCTCAGAGAGGCTTCATATATTCTTGGAATAAGGATAGTGAGAGAACGAAGTAAGAGACTAATAGGAATTAGTCAGAACACTTACTTAGATAAGGTACTAAAACGTTTTAGTATGGAAAACTTGAAGACGGGAGAATTACCGATACAAAATAATGCCAAGTTGAGTAAGACTCAAAGTCTGAGTACTGAAGCCGAAATAGAAGAAATGAGCTGAGTACCATATGCTTCCGTAGTTGGCTCAATCATGTATGTTATGACTTGTACTCGCTCTGATGTAGCCTTTGCTTTGAGCATGGTTAGTAGATATCAATGGAACCCTGGCAGAGCCCATTGGATTGCGGTGAAGAATATCTTTAAGTACCTTTGGAGGACCAAGGAATGGTTTTTAGTCCTCGGAGGGAGTGATGACTTGAAGGTGCGAGGGTATAGTGACGCCAGCTTTCATACCGACAGGGACAACTACCGTTCGCAGTCGAGCTGGGTCTTTACCCTGAATGGAGGAGCAGTAACTTGGAAAAGTTGCAAACAAGAAACCGTAGCTGATTCAACATGCGAATCAGAGTACATTGCAGCGAGCGAAGCGTCGAAAGAGGCAATATGGTTACAAAATTTCATTGGTGATCTTGGAGTTGTACCTACCATAAAGGAGCCCATGGAGATTTTCTGTGATAATGAAGGAGCGGTTGCCTTGACCAAGGAACCAAGAGATCATGGTAGATCTCGACATATCGACAGAAAATATCATTTTATAAGACATCGTGTAGAAGAAGGACAACTCATGGTGAAGAGGATATCATCAAAAGATAACCTAGCAGGTCCGCTTACGAAGGGACTGAGCAAGGTTAAGCACTTGCAGCATGCTAGGAGCATTGGGTTGAAGGATGATATTAGTATAGATTAGATAGTTTTAGAATCTTATAATAGATAAATGTAATTAACATTTGATGATTAAATAAAAGAGTATTATTTATAAGTAAAGTTACTATCCTATGTTAATCATTTAACTATTGTTTCACTTTGCATGTTTTGACTTCTAGAATAATTGAGTTTATTAAGAATAATTGAATTATTCAAATGTACACAATCGTTCATATGTTGGAAGTAGGTATGAATGAAGATTGTCATGAATTGGTGTGTAGATTGTCTAAATGGTATTAGACATAGCAAAAGTTTTCTGCAACGTTCATGAGTGCTTATGAACTTGTTTTAAGCATTGGAACAAACCCACGCTTGCTGGAATCACCTTATGGAATGTGACAAAAGGGTGATCGCAAGACGATAATATCATATGGTCTTAAAACCTAGATATATGGTTTGTTATTTGTTAAATGGTTGTACATTGATAATGCGAAACCGCATCGGTAACTTGATGCTATAAAACACATTGTTGTGTATAATTGGTTAATGAATAAGTAAATGCATGTAAGTCGAAGTTTATCTGTTACCTATATCCTAAGAAGCAAAAAGCGATATATCGGCCGCTCGATGAATTGATATGACTTATGTGCTGGGCCCGGTCAGAACTAAATTGATGTGTTCGATTAAGTTCTATGTCAAATAAATCTGAGATCAAGAAACCAAATGCTAGACAATTGGTTCCATATAAATGTCAGCTTGATATCTATACAGAGGACTGTACGATCCCTTATCTAAAGGACAAGATTGACTAGATCAGAGTTTGAGAGCGTCCTTGAGAGCTACGATTGCTGATCGGTGTATATAGTTACTAGACTTATCTAAGTGGGAGACTGTTGGAATAGTGTCTAAGGCTGCAACTATATCGAGCAAGTATTTGACCCGATTAAGCATGGTCCTTTTGGGTTGCCTTCACCATAGCAACTTGATAGGATGATTTACAATGAGAGTTAAAATATTATAAGGAATATTATTATTATTATTTGATTAATATAAGTCATAAATTAATTAGGAATTAATTGACTTAAAGAGATTAATTGAATAGAAGGACTTAAACTGTCAAATGTGTGATAGTTATACTTTACGCTGTAATCCTTTATGGATGGTATGGTGGACGATTTTAGGGATTAGGATAATCCTAAAATCCATCCAAAGGGTTATCATAAAGGTATTAGGATTGCTTTGGGCTTAAGTTATCAAATTAGGGTTTAAGGGTGAAACCATAGGAGCCTTACAAGTATAAATAGACCCTTGGGGTCATGGAAATCGGCACCCTTGTTTGTAACGAAACTCTGGCCGATTTCTAAGTCCCTCCCCACTCTCTCAAATTATCCTCTTGCTAGTTGGTGTTTGTAAGCCATTAGAGGAGTGATAATTGTGACTCTAAAGCTTCAAGAACAAGAAGATCAAACAAGTGATTCAAGGTAAACTTATAACTCTGATTTATCCTTGTTATTATGCTAGAATAACCACTATAAGTCTTGGATTCATGCATGTTCAATTAGAGAAACCTAGATCCAAGCATTAGGGTTTTGTATATGCACATAGGAATGTTCATATGGCTAAAACCGTCATGAAGAAGTTATGAATTTTTAGAAGTTCGGGGCTCAATTTCCGAGAAATCTCGCATGAATAGTACCGGCCACGTCACCTCGCACGAAGCAGGTGCGTTACCGGAGTCGTGGCACGTCTGAAGAGCGATGTGTGTCGCACGCGTATCCGAGCCTCGCTTTGCCACCGCCGTCCCCTCTCGTCTGGAGCCACGTGCTTCGTTTCGCCTGATGCCACGTCCGAGCCTCACAACGGCCTCGTGGCCTTCGCGTCTCCTACCAAATGTCCGAAGCTCGCATGAACCACACTTATCCCTCCTGACCGAGCCTCGCAGCTGTGATGTGGACTTTTCTCATCCACAAGAACCGAACCCTCGGCCCTATATAAAGGGAGGCTGCGAGCCTTCCCGGGTAACTTTGAAATTTTGACACTTTTTCACCCTAATTCCATATATTCACTATTTTGACTTTCCCCGAAGCCCCGATATCAATTTTAGCACCCGAAACACATCCCGAATCTCCTGAGAAGCCCGAAAATTTTATCTTTTCGGTTTTGAAGCCCTACCTTCGCAGAGCCCGGTTTTCAATTAAGCTCCCGGTTTTCAACATAGAAAGTCATATTTAAAGCCGAAGTGTTGTCTAAATTACTATTTTAACCCCCGGTTAATTTAAAGTGAGTTCATTGTATAGGAACAATTGTATGTTATGTGTTATATCTACTATGTGCTTTTCAGTGTTATTATTCTGAGTTATTTTCCCGTGTTATTTTTATTCGCTATTTTTAATAGCAAAGATATACCTTTGACCATGTGATCAGTGAAAGAACTTAGATTCACGGTGGTACTGGTATGTAGCCTCTGGCCATGTAGAACATGTCTCATAAGAGAATGACTTCTATTCTATGGCATTAGCAGAAGGTTAGATAGGAATGGTATGCAGCCTCTAACCATGTAGAGCATGACTCCGTAAGAGAATGAACTCTATTCTATGGTACTAGCAAATGGTTAGATAGGGCTATAAGCCTGAAATCTACTAAAATGTTAAACATGGTGTGAAAACCTGATATCTATTGAAATATTAAACAAGGATTGAAAACCTGAAATCTACCGAAATGCTAAACAGGGCGTGAAAACCTGAAATCTACCATATTGATAATCAGAAAGTATATGTCTTCTGTGCCATTTGGGCCAAAGCTTTATTGATGCATATCAAGTATTGAAATCGTTATGTTTCATTGATTGTAAATCTTTGAATCAAATCTTGAGTTGATATTGAAAGCCTGACATATGATACGCATATGCTATTGTTGTTCTTGTTCCCTTTTGCTTTTGTCATATTGGTATCACTACTAGAAAAACAGCCTTTTACGACGCTCATTGCGTGTCGTAAAAGGCTCATACGACGTGCGAATGCGCGTCAAGGAAGGCCCTGTCATAAAGAGAGATGACACGCATTTACGACGCTCATTTACGACGTGCAATTACGATGCGCGTTTACGACACACAATGCGTATCAAGGAAGACCCTGTCATAAAGGAAGACGACACGCATTCGCGTGTCGTAACCTTACGACGCGCGTGTTAATGACACACAATGCGTATCAAGAAAGCCCCTGTCAAGAAAGGCCATCTCATAAATGTAAACGGCACACATTTTTACGTATCGTAAATTTAGATATTTAAAAAAATATATATTTATATATTTATTAATTTTTAAATTAAATTTGCATTTAATGTGTCATAATAGAAATAAAATACCATATATAAAAAAATACAATCCATTGCATAAACTTTAATGTCATACAATTCTATTTCTTACAATATATAAATTTGCATTCATCTAATCTACTCTATGTTTCATACTAACAATTGAAATGAAGAATACAACACTTGCATTTTCAGCATCTTATCTCTTTCGGCTTGAGCTTTCTTTTCCACTTCTAACTCGAGAGCTATTCGCTTTCATCAACCCTGTAAACACAACACAAAATCACTTGTCATTTTCATTCTACTTTTATGTTTACTAGTCAATCCTTCAACTTTCTTTACTAATTAGATTCACCTGGCACCAATATTGCTGATGTTTACTAGTCAATCCTTCAATCTATCATATGAAGTATGAAAAATATGAACAATAGGAAATGGAAGGTCAAAATCCTAACCAAACATCCCAGATATATAACATTATGCCCTCCTGGTGCTTGTCCTCCTGACAACACAACTCCTATCTTCAAGGCATATCCTGATTCATTAGATTCACCTGGCACCAATATTGCTGATGGTTGCCCAAACAGTGATGGGAAAAGTTTTGCAATTTCATCTGAAAGCATTTGAACAAGCACAACTAAAGTCATAATCCTTCATCTTTACACTCAATCTGTGCAGGTGATCAGATGTGTTTTGCAATTCTTTTATGTGATTTTAGATTATAAAAAACAAATCTCCAATTTGTTTAGTACTGGTTTGTTTTTACAGTAGTTTCACAAGGTATTTATTGTAAGCAGTTAACTTTAAAACTCAAAATTCAAAATTCGATCATAAAACCTAATTAACATCTACACACAACGTAATAAGTTAACATAGCTAGAAAAACACTTAAATTCTTGTTTATCCAATGCAGCAGTGACTGAATTAGAAAGATTATTATCAATCCATCATTAAAAGACTCCGATCAATTGTGATAATAGAATAAATAGTTTTGCTTTTACATGGGTTCTAAATTCACTTCAGTATCAATATGAAGTGAGAAATACCTGGATTTCCGACAGCGGAGCTAGCGGGACCACCGACGATTTTGAAGGGGCTTCTGGAGCAAGCGTTAAGTCCATAGGAGTGTCTTCCACGGGTGGGTACAGAAGATAAAAGCTATTGTCACAAACGTAAGAATATTAAATTAAGAAAAAAGAAAAAAGAAAAATATTATTCAAATTTTGAAAACATGCCTGTGTCGACTCAGTATATGGTTTGTTAGTCCCTTGAGACGTTCGCCTTTGCTGTCTACATATTAAATTAAGAAAAAAGAAAAATATTAAATTAAAAAAAAGAATATATATATATATATATATATATATATATATATATATATATATATACATACTAGTTCCCTTGAGACATCTGCCTTCGCTGTCTACATAATTCAGACCAGAGCCCTACAAAAAAAGTAACGCAGACATAAAATGACTGTTTTGCCCTTCATTTTTAATATTTTCATGATATACATATAAAGGGTATTGTATTATATAGACCTTTTCATCTCATCCTGCAATCATCTCATCCTAAACTGAGCGTGACAATGATCCAACCAGCAAAGGGGCATACGGTGTCATGCTTGGAGTAGTTTGAGCTGCAAACTCTTCAAACCAATTCCGGAAGATGTCATAGCAAGGCAAATAGATTCCCACCTGTTCAAACAAAATATTATCATTAAGCATTCATTAATGGAAGAAAAAGAAAAAAAATCAGGGACTTACAGTTGGTATAGCCAATGCAAGGCCAGCATTGGTGCCTCGCCATAATCTTCCAAATCCCTCCTAAAAAGACACTCACAAATCTTAAAATGATCAACAATTAGAAAAGTGCTGGACTACAGAATATAAATACGAGGAAGAAGATGACCAACCTGCCGAATAATTTTGTAGAAAACATCAAGTGTTCCTTTGTACTCAAAGCAATCTGGAGGACAGATGGACAATGTACCATGTACTCCAGCACGCGTACATGATGGAGAACATCTTAGATCCCTAAACATCTAAAACAAACAATTACATGATTATCAAGATTTCACAACATTCTAACAAATATTACAAAGAAAACATACCATGTTTGGTCCAAAAACGGCCATTCGACTCGTAAGATTAGTCATTGGATGCGAGTATGCTACACCAGCATCCTGTGCTTGCAGCCTTGTCTGTCAAATCACAATCATACACAAAATGAAGAATCATTACCATGGTCATCAACACCCAATATGAAGTTAACGAGAATGAACAACAAGTTAGCAACATTAATAAGCAACACATAGTTTTCAAGGGAGAATGATATCTGAATTTGAGTTTGTATGTCAAAATCTACCCTTTTGGGGCACAGGCTGAAGAGATGGCTGAGAAATTTGCGAGTCTGTAGCAATCAGCCTGGTGGGGAAAAAGCTTGCTTCTTTTACATCAACAGTGCAGGTGAGTTGGTAAACTCTGTCCTTTTTTGTAATTTTGGGTATTTCATGGTTAGTTGATTTATAAAAAATATGAAATTGATATCGAGTGCAGGCTACTATGAAAGATGCTCTTGTTCGTATCTTGACTCCAAGGCGTTCTATTGACATTCTGAGAAATGTTCATGTTTCCAAGGAGCAAAGAAAACCATATGTTGTGGTGTTTGTTGGAGTCAACAAAGTTGGAAAGTCAATCAATCTTGCCAAGGTATAGAAAAATATTAAAAATTGAATCTTGGCATACAAAAAACAAAAAAAATAATATGTGAAATGTTGTGTACATAGGTGGCTTACTGGCTTCAACAGCATGACATCAATGTAATGATGGCTGCATGTGACACTTTCCGTTCAGGGGCAGTCGAACAGCTGCATACTCATGCCCGTAGGCTCCAAGTATGCAATTGAAATTGACCTTTTTGTCCTCTGATAATCTTCTTCTTAGATTTCCACCTCTAAATGCATAATCCCATCATATATATAATCAAATCAATACTTACAACTGATAACAGGGGCCCCTGTTTGTACTTGTCATGGAATGAAAATGTTAGAGGCTTCAGGTCCTCTCCAAGCCCTCTGATGAACCCACTACATCAATCAATTCATTAAAAAAAAGCAATACTTTCTATGAAGTATATGAAACTACATCATTACCCAGTGAAGACGCACAGCAACATGAGAATCTAAAGGGATGCCTCACCATTCATAATACTCATTCCAATTACTTAACTTATTTGTTAATATAGATAAAGGCCCTGTATTTTGAGTTTGTGTAGAGTAGCTTTCAGAAGTAATTATAAAGGATCTGAAACCAAACCAATGAAATTTTACACCAATACCTTTACAGGGGCATAATTTACTTGAGAGATTCCAGTGCTTATCATACCTTCCAATTAAATGAATAAACAATGAGATCCCATGTGTAATTTAATCACATGTGTATTGAAACATTGGGAGAAAAGAAGGATAAAAAAGGAACCTCAAATGATCCAAGGAAGTAATCAAAGTCACACAAATACATGAGAGGTAAAAATTAAGGTGTGAGAATATGATTACCTAGAAACATAGATGATGGCAACACGGTGGGTCTGGGTAACTGGGATGGTTCCGATCTTCGTGTAGCCATTTTTGTGTAATATCTAAGATTGTTGAGTTCTTTTCCATGAACTGTTCTCACCAATTACCGCCACTACTAGATTCCGATAGACTGTTTCCAATATATTTTTCTTCAAACCAATGAAGTCGGAGGTTCAACATTGAAATTGATTTGAACAACAAGAACTAGGGTTTTGGGTCGATTTGATTTTGAAAGAAATGGGATAATAAAAACAAGAAGCATCAACATCTGCAATCCATTTTGAGGCGTTGGAAGCAGGAGGAGGTATGGTTTCATTAATTTTGACTGTGGTGGGTGTTGGAATAGATCGTGACAATGGTGTTGGTGTTGTCAATGGAGAAGGCGAGATGAGAAGGAGGAGGATAGAGATACGATAAAACCTGGTAGAGAAGGAGAGACGAGAAGGTGGAGGTGTCGATTAGGGCTTGTTCAATTTGTAGTTTCGATTGACGGTTGATGAATTGTAGTTTTTAATCGGCACAGTCTGAGGCTAGAAGAGGCATCGAGGATTGAACACAGTGGATGTGGGTGAGGGGTAGATGAAAGGGAGAAGAAGGCGGGGGTTTAAAAAATTTGGGGATTTCATTTTCCCTCTAAGACGAAGGAGACACGCGTTTCTTATATATATATATATATATATATATATATATATATATATATATATATATATATATATATATATATATATATATATATATATATATATATATATATATATAAAGCGACATTCACAAAGGACACACGTTTTAGATAAAGTGCCCTCCGTGTTTTTAATTTTTTTAGATGAGACATTAATTTAAGGGCACGCAGTAATGCATGACCTAAATCCTTAAATTTTTTTTGAATAAATGACTCTTTTTTAATGTCACTCTCTTTTGCGTAACATAGATCAATGAGTGTCGTAATTTGCGCGTCGTAAAAGGCTGTTTTTCTAGTAGTGTATATATAAGGCATAAGATTATATTGTATCTATTTATTGAATTCACTAAGCGTTATCGCTTATCCCTCTCAATGTTTAACAATTGCAGGTGATGAGTATCCAATATAGTTTTATACTGCTGAAAGATTTAGATGAGTTAATACTATTTCTCTGTGTTTTAATGTTCAGGTATGAATATATGAATAGTAGATTCCTGGGTAGACATGAAATGTAATAAAAGTTAGTCGGTTTGTATCCAATCTTTTGTAATCACTTTATCAATATAAAATATTGTTTTATAAATATGCATGTAGCATGTTTTGAGGAAGTAACTTAAGAATTTTTTTTTCTGAAATAGTATGAAAGTTTGGGTCTTTCATAAATACGAAAGTTGGGGTCTTTCGACTATGCTTCTTTTCTTATATATCATATTAAGTTCTATATCTGATTCTAAAACCCAGGCACCCCTATATCGTCCTATCCCAAGGTTGTTTTCTCAAGATTATTCGGTATCTCTTCAAATGTTGTCCTATTGCTATTTTCACAAGGTTCGATGATATATTTATTTTAACAGTGTATTGGAATAGTTTAGCAAGTAAGTTATATTTTTTTAGCTTTAAGAATATTTAGTCTCGAGTGTTTACCAATGTTTTTTACAGCGTGTACTAAATTTATTCGTTACTGCATGTATGCATGATCTCAAAGATTATATATTTTTTACATTTATAATGTCCAACATGAAATCGTATCTCTTCTACAATGTATGGATGGAGGATCTCAAACATTAGGTTCAAGATGGTGCTATTATTTCTTCCAATGCCTATAACAGTTTCATAAATGTCATTACATGGATTTACTTGAAAATAAAGTTCATTACTCTTATAAACCTAAATAATACCATGTCAAATGCAAAATTTATACCATCTCAATATAAGGCATGAAAAAATTTGTTTCTTGTCGTTTTGGAGAATAACACCAATATAATAACATAATTAAAAACCCAGTAGAAAGCAAATGCTCGTAATTCCCATTCTTCTTGAGAGCAGTTGTGTGTCTGTTGCTTGTATTTAGGTCCAAGTATCCATGTTTCACCCTAAGAGTTTGAAGCATAACTATTATGAAGCTCAATCATGTACATACCTGAAGTGTTATGCCTCTTGATTTTTTCTTCTTCACATCTTCCAGGTATTTGAACAACTACACTTCCAAATTATTTTTTCTTGGTAGTAAAATCAGATGACATCATTAGAGTTTCTTATAGGATATATCTCAAAGTAAGCCTTTTTATAGGTTTAGTGTTGGAAAATCTAACTTTATTCTCCTTTTACCAAATGGAATGGTTTCCTTTCTTTGCTATTGACATCGCCTTCCGTAATAGCCAATAAGGGAGTTGTAGAGTTAGTGTATCGAGTCTTAACCATGTTATCTTAAGTGGTTTACAACATTTTATGCAAATCCATCAAGGTTATTCCAATTTTTTCATATTATTGTTAAGGGTAAACTGATGATACGAATTGATAAGTGAGGTGAGTATTATATTTGCGGCCAACTGTCACACCCCCAAACCAGAACGGCGGAATCGTTCGAGGGTAGATGACTTCATGTAGTATCATAACAGTTGAATACATTGTAAAGAAAGTAAAACAACCATCATATATATAATTTAAGAGTTACATTGTGGAATGATACTTGTTTCAAAACAAATTACAATATGATGACAAATTGAGTTTTAAACTGATGCCTTAGCGTCACTTCTCCAAAAGCTGAAGTTTACCTGTATTACTGAATCCCTGAGAAATACAAGTAAGTTTGAAAGAGTAGATCAACATTTAAGCTGTTGAGTTCATAAGTATTTAATGTCAATGTTTGTATAAATTTGAATGAAATTGTTTGTAGATGTTTGAAAAATCCTAGAAAATCCCATATTTCCTACTAGTATAAAAGTAGTCTTCTACCAAGACCTGACATGTTTGAATGCTTTCTTCTAGAAATCCAATATTTTCCCATAAGGGTGTGGTAGTTTAGAAATTCCAAAACTGTAATGCAAAAGTATTTTTCATGCCTAGATTAATAGATTTATGTATGTATAAAATCGCTAAGGCATTTGATAACCCTGTAAATCCACGTGTTTTTAATATTCCATGTGAGTTTTATAACCATGTTATTGACCCAGACTGCCTGTGACAACGTTCTTCAAGCGTTGGAATGTTATGATGTTTGTCACCCCAGACCTACCGATCTAACTGTAGCTAATAGTTTAGGTGCAGGATTGTCAATCCCTTATAGATATATACACAAGTATCATGCTCTCCCTTCAAGAGATTATGGTATATAATATAGGACTTTAACTACAAACTTGAAAGTACGTGAAGTTGAAAGTCTCACAAAACATAGTATCAAATAGATTTATGTATGAAAAGTCCATTTGTTGTTGTATATGAAAGTATTTCCTTGATATAGTACTTATAGTATGTAAAATCTCTTGATTTCCTTGAAAACTATACCTATTATAGTTTTTCCGAAAGTGTGTTTCGTTTGTATGGTAAACCCTAGTATAGTGTCGACTTTATACGTAAAGTATAACATTTGTAATAACATTATTGAACATTTATACTCAAAATATAAATAAAGTGTTTGTAATTTATATAACGACATGTTTCATTTCAAAAGGACAAAGTGTTATCATGATATGTTACATGAGAATGTTTTCGTATGGTAGTTATAAATCTCATATGATTGATTATAACAAAAAGTATAGCAAGAGATTGATGTTTTTCACACGAGGATAATCGTGTATTTACTTGTACTTCCCCCTTAAAAGTGTATAAAAGCATTTACAAAGCATTTGAAAACGTAGTTATAGGGGTATGAACTCACTTGATAGATTGAAGAAGGTGAGACGAAAACCGAGCAGAACTTCGACTTGAGAATGTTGATTTCTCGGGATTCCTTCGGAACTTGGATGTGAAGACCGGGGCTTCGGGATGGCTTCGGGGGTTAAAATGCAGAGCTTCGACACGAGAAATAAGAGAATTGAGCAATGAAACCCGAAACCCTTTGAGCCCTATTTATAGCCCAATTTTTGGGTCCCACGTCGTGGAAAAGGGTTTCCCACGACGTGGAGTCGATCCTATCCTCTTCCATGGATGAGACGTCTTCTGCAATCCTGAAAACCCATCGGTCAGGGTCCCAACGTCGTAGCCACCTGTGCGATGTCGTGGCCAGCCTGACAGCCTCGGATTTTGTGTCTCGATCTTGTAAAATCCGTAACTTCCGCGTACAAGCTCCGTTTTTGACGTTTTATATATGCACGTGTAGGTGAGAATATGCTCTACAACTCTCGTTTAGATTTCATCGGCTAATTTTGACTTT